CAGTTGGTTGCAGTGACATCCTGTACACCAAAAGGCTGTGGATTTTATTCCGGCCAGGGCACATACCTAGGTTGTGGGTTCAATGCCTGGTAAGGTCAGGGCATGTATGGGATGTCTGTCTGTCTCTTTTTTCTCTCCCCCTTCTCTCTTTCTAAAATCAATACACCTTGCATGAGGATAAAAAAAAATAAATAAAAATAAAAAAGGTAGGGAGTGATAAATTGAGGTCAGACCAGCTTTATAATCCCTTCTGAAACAACAATGAAATGAAATAGTTCTGAGACTCAGCTCAGCAGCCGAGGGGATGGAAGAAAACAATAGGCATAAAGAGGTCCTACCAAACTCATTGAAAATTTAATTAAGACTTTGTCATTTACACGCATTGAGGGAAGTGAAAGGAGGCTCTCCAGCCAGTAGCTGGGCGATCACAGTCCAATTCCTAACACTACGAAATTGCAGGCCTCCTTTCTGTGAGTGCCTTCTTCACAAAGCAGAGCACCTTAGTCAGCCAGGGAAGAGGGACCTCATGATAGAAAACGGAAAAGGTGTCCCATGACACTCAGCAGTGTGGACAAAAAGGGGCCACTGTAATAAATCTACCTGAAGAAACCTCTCCGAGGTAGCTGATCATAAATTCCTAATGAAGCAGGTCATGATGGGTAGTCACGCCTCAGGCCTCAAACTTCCTAATAAAAGACTATATTTGCTTTAAGAAAGCCCTGTCCATTGTTTTGTGAGGACAGAGTGTCCGCCTGGGGACTGACCAGTCCTGGGTTCGGTTCTGGGTTGCAGGCTGGATCCCCAGTAGAGGGCGTGCTGGCGGCAGCTGATGTGTGATTCTCTCTCATCATTGATGTTTCTCTCTCTCTCCCTCTCCCTTTAACTCAATTAAAAAAAAAAATTTTTTTTAATCCTCTATAGTTTTGGACATTTCTTACATCATCAGCAAGAAAAAGAAAAAATGAACATTGCAATCCTAAGTCAACAAACTTGAGAGAGGCTGAAATGAATCCAGTGTTTATTCATTAAGGACCTACCAATTTTGAAGAGTTTAACTCTCTCTCAGAGTGCGGCTCTCGTGGTGAAGAGGCAGATTTCTTCACCACCAGGATCCTGTACGGGGCCAGCGTGGAGCCATGAGTTTGCACTGGGAAGGGAATAGAAAGGAAGGCTGGATGTGAAGAAATGTCCAAGGAATAGCATGTGTGGCCAAGGAGGCCATGGCCTTGCTTCCGATTACACTGAGAAAATAAAAGTCACCTGAGAAGAATTCCCTCGTGTTCCCAATTCCAAGCTTACCAGCTGGCCTGACGTACTGAGCCCACACTCTTCCTCCTGAAAACCAATGAGCTGTGTGTGAAGCTCTCTAAGACCAACCCCTCACTTGTGCTCTGGATCCCACCTCTTCTGTCTACTCCTGTAATGGTCTCCTTTTTCCTCTGCATTACCAAAATTTCTCTCCCACTCAAATAATTCCTATCAGAGTACTATATCTCACTTACAAAACTTTCCTGCCGAAACCGGTTTGGCTCAATGGATAGAGCGTCGGCTTGGGGACTGAGTGAGGGGTCCCAGGTTTGATTCCGGTCAAGGGCATGTACCTTGGTTGCGGGCATATCCCCAGTAGGAGGTGTGCAAGAGGCAGCTGATCAATGACTCTCTCTCATCGATGTTTCTAACTATCTCTCTCCCTCCCTCTCTGTACAAAATCAATAAAATATATTAAAAAAAAGAAAAAAAAAAAACTTTCCCCATTCCTCTCCACTACTAATCCCTCACTCTCTTGAATCCATTCTCATAGGGTTTTTTAGTAGTATTTTTTTTTGGGGGGGTTGTTTGTTGTTTTTAGTTTTTATTGATTTTAGAGAGGGAGAAACAATGATGTGAAAGCAAAACACTGATTGGCTGTCTCCACATGTCCCCCCCCCGGGGGGGGGGGGTTGAACCAGCAACCTTGCAGTGCACAGGATGACAGCCTACGGAGCCATACCAGCCAGGGGTACTGTTTATTGACTTTTAGAGAGGAAGGGAGAGGGAGGGAGGGAGGGAGGGAGAGAGGGAGGGAGGGAGGGAGGGAGGGAGACAAGGATGTGAAAGCACAACAGCAATATTGATCAGCTCACCACTGACCTCCACATTGTCAAATCCATGGTCATTTCTGATCCTCATATAGCTTGGCCTCTCTGCATGCTTTGCAAAACTTCAACCCCTCCCTCCCTCTGCAAACATTTATTTCACTTGGCTTCTGAAATAACTAATTTTCTTACCTGGCAGAGCTGCTTCTTCATTCTCCTTTCCTGGACTTCTAGCCCTCTAAACAGTGGATGTGGCAGGGTTCAGAAACCAGACTTCTACTCTTCTCTATCTACACTCGCTTCTTGGTGCATTTAGTCCCATCGCTTTAAATACCATTTATATACACTGATAAGTCCCTAAATTATATTTCCAGCCCCATTTTCTCCCTATGGGCAGTTCTACTCTACATCTTCACTTGATTCTAAAAGACACCACAAACTAAATCCAACATTTAATAGTCTCCCTACGAAGGTGCTGCTCTCACTCAGCATTCCCTCAGTTTTGGTACAAGGAAACTGTCCTTCCACTTATTCAGGCCAAAAATCTTGAAATCATCCTGACTCCTTTCTTTCCCTCGTATCCCACCTCCAATCTATCAGCAAAATTATTCTGTGTCTATAATTTGACTTACCACCTCCACCATCGTTCTACCCAAGCTACCATTAATTTTCACCTAGATTAGAGTAGTAGCCTCCTAACTCTCACCTCTACTGGCCTCTTACCAAATCCTGCTGGAGAGGCCAAACAACATAAGGACTGAGAAACGACCCATGGATTTGGCAATGTGGGTCACTGGCAACTTGCTTTCTCTGAAATGGTAGGCATAAGAGCCTGATAGACCTGAAGTCCACTCTACGGTGAGAGCCTGCATGTCCCTGAGAGGGTGTTCTCCTGTTGGTCCTCTAACTCACCACGTGAAGTTCCTGATTCAGAGCCTTTGCATTTGCTTCTCCTTTTGCCTGGACCACCCTTCCTCCAGAGAGTCACACCTGGAATTTCTCTCCAGAATTCAACTTTCTATTTAAAAAACAAAACAATAACAACAAAAACTGTGACCCTTCATTCGGCGGGCCAACGACAATGCTCTATCCACTTAGCCAAACTGGCCAGGGCGATCTTCATTTTTAAAGTCTCTCCCTTTGTTATATAATACAGCATAGTCACATGATCCAAGGATTAGGATGTGCACATCTTTAGGGAGCCTTCTGCCTACCACAAGTAAGTAATATCATTGAAATAAAATCAGAGTAACATAAATATGTTTACAGAAAAAAAGTCTTACTCCTTATTCTTTCCACCTGATTCCTTACAAATCCTTATCAACTATTTTTAGTTTCTTATGTAGTTTTTTAAAAAATATTTTTATTGATTCTTTTACAGAGAGGAAGGGTGTGGGATAGAGAGCTAGAAACATGGATGAGAGAGAAACATTGATCAGCTGCCACTGGGGATGTGCCTGCAACCAAGGTACATGCCTTTGACGGTAACTGAACCTGGGACCCTTCATTCCGCAGGCCGCCAATCCATCCAGTGGGCCAAACCGGTTAGGGCCAGAGTTGGTTTTTACATAAACATAGTATTAATATGAATATTCCTCTTCTCCCTACTTACATTGAAGGTATACTATTGCAGCTTGCTTTTTTTTTTTTTAATTGAATGTCACTTGAAGATGTTTTTCTTCCAGTGCACAGAGCAAGTTCTTCATCCATCTATATAAAGCATAGTACTCCATAAATGGGTACTATCATTTATTGACCGTCTCCTGTTGGGCAGTTTTATTTCCAATATCCTGCCACATAATCACTAGCTGTCAATGACTAACTTCACACATTACCTCTTCCGTGTGACCACTGAATGTTTTTTAATTATTTTAGTTCTAACATCTCTAAGGCTAGTGACAAGTTGGCTTGGTGGCAATCTCTTATCGACACCCATTTGCCTTGGTGGCCCAGGAAATGGGGGCTTTAGCTTGAATTTGTGAATCTGAACCACTGCTGTACCTGCCTGGTCTCAATTCCTCCAAAAGCATCCTCAGCTTTTCTGACCATCCCCCATATACTTCCATCGCTCCACCATACATCCCCTGAGGGGGGCCATTGGCCTCAAGCTGATGTGAGTGGAACCCCCAGAGGTTATGCCACCAGGAAGTGTAAGCTGCCACTAGGAAAATAAACAAACGAATCAAAGCTTCTGGGAGAAACGTCTCTTATCGGGCCATTTAAAATAGTGCCTTCTAGAGATCACCCAAAGGACTTGTATGCATGCATATAAGCATAACCAATGGACGAAAAACTTTGGGGACGGAGGGCATGTATGGGAGTGGGGGGGAGGGGGGGATGGGTAAGGTATGTACACATATAATACCTTAATTTAAAAAATGAGGGAAAAATAAAATAAAAAATAATAATACAAATAAATAGTACCTTCTCTCTATCCCTTTATTTTTCCTCACAGCCTTTGTCACTGCCTGAATGTATAAGTTTATGGGACGTCTCCCCACTCCCCCACACACACTGGAACGTAAGCCCCACGCGGGCAGGGGCTCTGCTTTGGTCACCGCTGTGCGCCCGCCGTGGCAAATAGCGGGTTCTCAGTAGGCACCTGCTGAACAAGTCACCTTCGCCTCAGACGCACGCTGCTGGCGAGCACGCACAAGCCCGGAAGCACAGCACGCTCAGCGGTGAGACCCTGACTGGGACCCTCCGGCCCCCGGAAACGCGGGCGCGCACCCGCAGCCCCGGCTCCGACACCGCCCTCCTCCCAGCGCACGGCCGCGCTTCCGCCCTCGCGCGGCGCTCGGAAAGGAGGGGCGGCGGCTTATGTCATCACCCCGCGCCGCCTGCCCCGCGACGCGCCGCCGGCGGCTGGCGCAGCCCTTCGCTCGCCCGGCCTCCCCCGCCCCGGTTCCGCGCTCTGGTTCCGCCATGGAATCCAACAAGGATGAAGCCGAGCGCTGTATCAGCATCGCCCTCAAGGCCATCCAGAGCAACCAGCCCGACCGGGCGCTCCGCTTCCTGGAGAAGGCACAGCGGCTGTACCCGACGTCGCGCGTTCGCGGTGAGTGTGCGGCGCCGGCGAGGCGGAGGGGACATGGGGACTAATGGGGGGGGAATACGGGAACGGACCGACGGGAGCAGTTGGAGGAGGGGGAGGGGTGGCGAGGCGCGGCTACGCCTGCGCACTGCGGCGCGCGGTGGCTGCCGGGAGATGTAGTCTTTCGGTCCCACGCCTCTCCGGGATGCTGCACACCTGCGGACGGGGGGCTCCCGGCCGCCTCGGCTTTCCGGGTGCTTGCTGAACCCTCCGAAATGTAGAGTTCCCGAGAATGAGAGGCGCTGGCAGGCGGGGCGAAGGGAACGTACCTGAAGTCGGAATCGAACTACTTTTCCCAAGGGGCCATTCGGTGGCCCGGGGCCAGGTGCCGGCCTGGGAAACATTATAGTTGAATAAACATAACAGCCCTGACAGAGGGACTGGGTCCTGGAGAGGGAAAAAAGACGTCCGATCTTCGGATGCCTGCAAAGGCGTCTTGGTGCCTTCGCTCTCACGCACGTTTCCGGTTGAATTGCCAGGGACTACCTTCCCCAAACTCGAGCCTGCCTCCTCCGTCCCTACCCCTCCGCCCCACCCTACCCCGGGCACCTTGACGGTCCGTCCTGAGACCCAGCTCCTCACTCACTCGTGGAGCCTCTCCCCTCTTGGCGGCATCCGGAGCGGACTGTCTTGTCTGAAACGCTGGCCCCAGTCACCCTCACCCACCCGCCCTCACCACCCTCGCCTCCAAGGGTCCCACCAGGCTGGCCTGCTGTGTAGCCCTGGGCTGAGTGAAGTCCTCCAAGCCAGGGAGGGGAAAGTAATTGTCTCAACTGCTCAGCTGTACCCGGGAACCCTCTTTTCTTCTTTAACCTAAAAGCCTTCCAAGAGGTTTTTCTCTATCCAAGGTGGAAGAGAGGAGAGACAGTCTGTTAAAGATTAGTGCCTGCAGTCACCACTTGGTAAACCTGCTGGCATATAGCAGGTACTCAGCATCAAGAGACCCGAGCCTCACCCTGACGGCTACCATGTGATTTTTTTTTTTTTTTCTGAGCTTGAGTTTACGTACCTAGAAAATGAAAGGGTTGGCCCAGATAATAAGAAGAACAGTGAGCTTTTATTTAGAGCTTTTCAGCTTAGAAAGTTCTTTCGAATGCATTTTCTCACGTGAGCTTGACCTATCAGGGAGGCAGAGCAAAGATTGCCTTTGCTCTATAAGTGAAGGCATATCTCAGAAGTAAGGGCTTCTCCAGTATTACACAGCTAGAAACTGGGCAGGTCTGTGACCCTATAAATATTTACTAAAGAAATAAAGTGAGCCGAAGCCGGTTTGGCTCAGTGGTAGAGCGTCGGTCTGCGGACTGAAAGGTCCCAGGTTCGATTCCGGTCAAGGGCATGTACATTGGTTTCGGGCACATCCCCAGTAGGGGGTGTGCAAGAGGCAGCTAGTCGATGTTTCTCTCTTATCGACGTTTCTAGCTCTCTATCCCTCTTCTCTGTGAAAAATCAATAAAATATATTTTTTTTAAAAAGAAAAAGAAATAAAGTGAAACCGGCGAGCAGCAGTCAGCCCACCTTTTGAAAGTGGTGAACAAGAGAAAGGGGACACTAGCAGAGGCGGCCTGGAATGCCTGCATCTTCCTGCCTCCTGGCGGCGTGTTGATCTTTTGCCCTATTTGCCAGGACCCCTGAGATAACCCGCTCCAGGAGCTTCTCTGGGAAATCACGCTGACTCAGAGGAGAGCAGGGTGGGGTGTCCCCCCCCAGCTCTCAGAACTCTATCGGCCGCTGATGCCTCTGGGGGCTCAGGAGCAGGCAGCCAAGAACGGAGTGTAACAACACAGCTTGTGGAGATCTTCCTGTCAGCAGGCCTCCCAGGCTCGGTTGGGGCTCTGATGAATGTCCTTCCTGAGGCTCTGGCACTGGAATTTGCTCAGTCAGAAGCGTCACCAGCTGCATATTTGTGATATTTGTGATATTCTGGAAAGAGTACATGCCTCCTGCTTCTCTGTAAACATCATCTTGCGCCCTCTCTGGCCCTGCACACTGAGCTGAGAAGAGCCCGGGGTTAATTGTGGCCTGGGATGGAGAAATCTTATGGTTAGAAAATGACTAGGTAGTATTGTCCACACCAGCTATGTGAGGTTTGAACTTACTCCAGATGCTCATTCGGTGCAGCTGACATTTTTTGTTTTGTTTGCAAAGTCTTCTGCTCGGTACTAAGTGGTTTAGCAGGATTGGTAAGAAATGATCCTTTGCCTCAAGGAGCTTACAATCTAGTGAGGGACACAGATTATATTATAGAAAAGATAATATTGTAAGCCATAAAACAATAATTGTGACTAAACAAAAATTGAGCACGGTGTCAGATGCTGAGGGCTTAAGTGTTTGAACTGTACTTGGGAGGAGGGGAGGAGGCTTGGAGAAGAGCATTCTGGGAGTCATGGGGCTGGAAGTTGTAAGGGCTGGAGGAAGGGATTGACTGTAGCAAGATTTGGAGGCTGTGAGGGTTGTGATTTGCTTCTAGAGAGAATTAAGTTTGGAACATAGAACGGGACCAGATTGTGGAAGTCCTGTCCTGCACTGCCTAGGATGTTAGTTTTTTTTGTTTGTTTGTTTTGTTTTTTTTGTTTTTACTAACTACAGATGTTTTAGATGGCAGGAAGACGATCAAAGTATTTCTCTTAAGAGAGATCAGGGTAAAGTGTCACTAAGAGGAAGGAGAGACTCCAGGCAGAAACTAGTTGGAAGAGACTTGCACTGAGTAGGAGAGGGGCTCTGAGGGGTGGGATATACGCAGTCTGGAGGAGGAGGTCACTGGGCAGAGCCACCAAGCCTGTGAGAGAGAGGGATGCCAGGGAGAAATGGGCGCTCAGAGTCCACGCCTGTGTGCCTGGACAGACAGTAAGGCCAAGGAACCAAGAGATGGGCAGAGGCTGAGGGGCTGGTGGGTTGGTGCTGATGGGCTGTTCCAGAGGAGCTTGGAGCTCAGGAGAAAGAGCTTGAGGCTCCAGCTGAAGCTCTGGTCTCAGCGTGACCCAGCTATTGGAGTTGTGCCGGCCGCAGTCGCTGTGAGGAAGAGTGGACCGTGTAGAGGAGGCTGCTGCTGGCACTCCCTGAGCCACCGAGGGAGATGGAGCAGCAGCAGGAGGAGGCGGTCCCAGGAGAGCGGCTGCCAGGTAGCCATGGAGCAGGGTGCGAGGAGGTGTGGGCAGCTCTGTCAGTTGCTGCCGAGGCCACGTAGGAAAAGGACAAGTTGAGAAATGAAAGGGAAGGATCAGGAGCATGGGCGGGAAGTGGAAGGACAGAAGGAGGGAAGGGTTTGGGTGTGGAGGCTCAGAACAACCCGGAAGGGTCAGAGAACATCGCAGCGAGAAGCCATGAGGGCCCCGGCCGGTGCGGCTCAGTTATTGGAGCATCGCCCATGTATGGAAGGACCCCCGGTTTCATTCCCAGTCAGGGCATGTACCCAGGTTTGGGGTTTGATTCTCAGTTGGGGCATATGCAGAATGCAACCCATCAATGTTTCTCTCTCTCCCTCTCCCTTTCTGTCTCTCCAAAATCAGTAAAAACATATCCTCAGGTAATGATTTAGAAGAAGAAGAAAAAACAGATAAGAGGGGACTTGAAACTCGTGCTGCAGGAAGTGTGGTGGTGAGGCACCAAGGGCTGAGGAGCAGTAGGCAGGCCCTAAGCTGGGCTGCCACAGGGCAGGGCTGGGAGCTAGTCAGTCCCTTTCTGGGACTTTATTCAGTGCCTGGCACCCTCATAGACACTGGCTTTGCCTGAGGCTTAGCAGCCATGGTAGGAGGTACCAGGTTTCCAGGAAGCCGATGAGAACATCTGTAGGCCTCAGTTTCCCCAGCATACAAAGCAAGGGTGGGCCCGAATGGTCTTGTAGCTCAGGCTGCCTGAACTTCTGAGATGTCAGGCTCTGGGTCCAGGATAAGTCAGGAGGGCCAAGGTGGAAGGCACGGGGACCGGGGAGGGCTTGTTTTCAAGAGATACTGGCACTCGGAGTCTAGGACAGAGAGGCTCCAATACTGGTGAGGTCTCGGGTGGGGCTGTCCATTTAAGCTGGTCAGCCATCATGAACCTCACTGTCTGCTCAAAGCGTCCATCCCCCTGATTTCACTGAGTCCTTTTACCCGCAGCGCAGCCTGAGAAGGTGGAGATCCTATCTTCACTGAGGAGTCAGAGAACCTAGCAAGGCTGCATGATAATTAGCAAAGGAACCAGACTGCCCAGCTCCCCTCCCAGACGCTCCCTCCGCCGCCTTTCCCGGTGCACTCTGAACACTGCAGGCACGTAGAGCCTGGAGAGAAAAGTAGCAAGCGACACCTAATATTTGCTGGAAGTTGTGCAAAGCTCATTTGGTGCATTTACTCATTTACCCTATTAACTCTCTCGAGAAAGATGCCTCTTCCGAGGGAAAGCTGAGCTAACTTGTCCACAGTGACCTCGCCAGCACGCGGCAGAGCCAGGTTTGAACCCGGGCAGCCTGGCTCTCCAGTCGGGGATTGAGGGGGGGCCCTGCTGGTGGCTTTGGCTATAGAAATGCTTCCACCTCCACCTCAGCTGCCCTCTCTCCCAATTGGTTTCTCCTTCCAGTTCCCTTCTTTTTAAATGTCTGCTGGCTCTGCTGGGAAGGGACAGAATCAGGATGTGGATCCAGCCATGTCTGTCTGTCTACAGATTCACATCACGCTGTTCTCTCTACTCTTTGTGACCGTCTCCTGTCAGCACTGCCGGTGAGGGATGTAACAGCGAGCCAGGAGCAGCCAGCCACAGCCCCAGGCCTCCGAGTGGCCTGCTTGTCAGCCACCAGCAACTTTCACTTCCAGCTCAGACAGGAACCTTCTGCCCGACCCCGAGCACACCTGCTTCCCTGCGGGCTCGCTCTCTGCAGCATAGAGAAAGTAGAGTGGCTGAGCCCATGTAACTGCCCTGAGAAGCTTCCAGAAGCTTCCCTGAGAAGTACTAGAGAGAGTTCCATCTCTGAGTTCTGTGGTCGGCAAACTGCTGCTCACGAGCCACACGCAGCTCTTTGGCCCCTTGGGTGTGGCTCTCCCACAAAACACCACTGCCCGGGCGAGTCTATTTTGAAGAAGTGGCGATAGAAGAAGTTTAAGTTTAAAAAATTTGGCTTTCTAAAGAAATTCCAATCGTCGTCCTGTCGATGTTTGGCTCTGTGGACTAATGAGTTTGCCGACCCCTGTCTAGTTGATCAGCCAGGACCACTGGGGCGTCCAGAGAAATTGAAATAAACGACTTCTTTAAAAGCCCCGAAAAAGTATCCCTAGCGAACCAAGCTTCCTGCCTCCGTCCGTCTTGATCAGCATCCCTTCCTCTGTTGGTTTTCTGAGTGGCCATTCCCCTGGTGCCCGCGTGGACCTGGCAGCTGGGACACCTGAAACATCACATCTGGTCCAAAGCCCGCCGAGGGCTGAGCTGCCTGCCTTCGCCGTGGTATCCCGTTTCCGCCGCCCTGGCCCCTCATCTTCCTGGCCAGCAGCTCATCGGCCAGGCCATAGCAGCAGCTATCGTTTTGAACGATTACTGTGTCAGTCTCCCTGCCCGTGCTTACACACGGGATCTCATCTCACACCCCGTGTGAGGGCAGCCAGAAAGGTCTCGCAGTGGGCCGGCTCACACTGTTAGGATTTGGCTGAGCTGAGGTTTGAAGCCTGGGTCTTTCTGTTTTGGTGGTTTTAATTTATTGATTTTTAGAGAGAGAAACTGCTTTAAAAGCTGCCTGTTGTTGTTCTACTTAGTTGCACTCATTGGTTGATTCTTGTATGTGCCCTGACCGGGGATTGAACCCACAGTGTTGGCATATTAACCAACTGAGCTACCCGCCAGGGCAAAACCTGGGTCTTTCTGAATTCAACTTCTCCTCTGGAAGGGGCTCCCCCGCCAGGTCTGTGTGGTCCCAGATACCAGCATGTGAGGAGCAAGGCATCCGGGGGTTCAAGTCCTGCCTACCAGCTGGTGCAGCTGATCAAATACGCAGCCCCCCCTTCTAGCGTGTGAGGGGGGAAGGGTGGTAATCAGACCTCCTGGAAGGCCGCTGTGTGGACTAGCTGAGCTGATACATGCAGAGCGCTGTGTCCGGTCCTGCCTGAGCCAGTGAGCACTCGTGGCCATCGCTCCTCTCGGAGCGCGCACTCAGGGTTTGCCACGGGAACCCTGCACCTCCCTCCCGTGGGCAAGCCCGACTGTCAGCTTCTGTGTGTGGGTTTCGCAGCTGCTGACTCAGTGAGGTAGTGAATTTGTGCAACTCAGGCGGCGGTGGCTCAGGGCACACAGTCCTGGTTCCTGCTCCGGCCCCGGGTGAGACCAGGCGCTGACAGCCAGCACGGAGCCCTGAGCCCAGAAGGTCGGAGAGCAGCGGGCGTGCCCTGTCCCTCTCAGCTCGGAGGTGTCCTGGTCCCTGCGGTGGTCAGTGCCTGGTGTCCCAGGACACTCCCCCGGCTTCACAGGGTGCAGGAGCGGTTTTGTGCCTGAAATAGACGGGCACAGGGGACTTCCGGCTTGAGTGTGAATGACCGTGACCCTGTCTGAGGGGACAGTTGTGGCCTCTGTAGACTCTGAACGCTGATAGGACATTGGACATGGTGGCCATTTGAAAACGTAAGAACAGCAGATGTCAATCCTGACCCCCGGGCACGCTCACTGCCCCACTCCCTCCTCTTCAGGGGTGCGCACCGGCCTCCAGGAGGGTCCCCTCTGCCAAGTGCTTCGCCGTCTCAGCCCTTAACAGAGGACGGCTGTGGAACACACTGCTTTGGGATTTAAGAGATCTGAAGTATTAATAGTTTATTTTGGGAACAGGAAAAAAAAAAAAAAAAACGCAGTTTGTTTTTATGCTGAGTTTAAAGTGACCTACATATACCCTGCTGGCTCCTGAGGCCGGGGCCCTGAGAGGGCAGGGCCCCCACAGGCTGGAGTCAGGCAAGAACCAGCGGCTCTGCTGGGAGGATAAGCAGGCGGGGGGTGGGGACCCTGGCCTCCCCCGGGGTCAGGTGGTCCCTCGGCCATGACATGTGGCCCTGCTGGAGCAGGAGCCCTGATGGGTGGCCTTGCCTCGCTCAGACCTGATCGAGTCCCTCAACCAGAAACCTCCATCTGCCGGCGACCAGCCCCAGCCCACAGACACGACCCACGCGACCCGACGGAAAGCAAGTGGGTCCGAGGCCCCGTCGGCCAATGGCGAGGCAGGAGGAGGAGGAGGAGGGGAGCCCACCAAAGGCTACACCGCGGACCAGGTGGCCGCCGTGAAGAGGTAGGAGGCGGGCCTGGCGGGCTGGGGGGGAGGGGGGATTCAGGTCCAGAGCAGGCCTCGCCGCAGGGGCGTCCTGCCCCTCACGTCTGCCTGGGTCTGGGTGGCCCTGGGACGGCCTTGAAGATGGGGCGGGTCCAAGCGGTCGGGCTCACCGGGCCCACTCCCCATTTCCCACACGATACGGCCCTGGGCATCGAGCTCCGCCGTCCCCTCCCGCCAGGACAGCCGCGGCAGGGGCTGAATGCTGACTCCGCGGGCCTGGCCTCCGCACACAGCTCTGTTTGTCACCCTGAGCGAGCATGGTCTCCCCAGCCCACAGCCCCACCCCCAACGAAGCCCTTTCAGACCAGAGCTGTGGGGGAGACGGCCGGCTGGCCCCGCTGCTCCTCAGGCTCTGCCCTCGGCCTCCCGCTCGCTGGCCGGCTCCCGAGGCCCCCCCCAGCCCCGCTGCTGGCGAAGGCGTCGGCCAGCCTCGGCACTGGGCTCAGCCTGCGGCGCCGCAGCACGCTTGTAGTTTGTCACAGAAACGTGCCAGATTTACATCATTCGGACCAAATGGCAGCCATAGGAACTGATTGCGGGGAGTTCGAGTGCTGGAAAAGTCCAAGAATCAGGGTCTCTTCGGGGCCCTGAGGTGGGGTGAGCCGACCTGCCATGGCCTTTATGTTGCCCATTCAGGACTCAGATTGCCAGGAGAGGGGGTAGCTGGCCGTGCGTGGGCACACCTGCCCGTGGGCAGAGGCCCGTGACTGACAGTCCTCGTGAGGTCGCCCGCAGGGAGGGTGCTGTTAGCCAAGAGAGGTGGTTCCTGGTCTGGCAAACACAGCAGCCGCCCCTCTTACACCCTGACTGTGCTTCCCCGGGGCCTGCGGCTCCCTTCACCCCACATCTGACAGCCTGTGCCCCCGAGCCTGCTCGCCCCCTCCCCTCATGGCCGGCCCCTCCCCAGGGTGAAGCAGTGCAAAGACTACTACGAGATCCTGGGCGTGAGCAGAGGCGCCTCCGAGGAGGACCTGAAGAAGGCCTACCGCAAGCTGGCCCTCCGGTTCCACCCCGACAAGAACCACGCGCCCGGCGCCACCGAGGCCTTCAAAGGTGAGCCTGTGTTCTTGCCTCGTCCCGGAGAGAATAAGGGGCTTTGCCAGGCGGCGGCCTCGGACCCTCGTCCTGCGGCTCAGGGGCTGCTTCCTGGAAGAAGGTCCTAGGAGCCACCCAGCCCCAGCCTGTCAGCTCAGAGGGCCCCTCCTGCCTCCCCGCCGCCTCGTCCCCTGGGTTAGAGGAGGGGCCGAGGTGAGAGGACCAGCAGCTCCGTGGGGTCAGGCCTGCATGGAGCAGTCTGCAGGCTGCACACACCCCTACCCCTAGCCCCCTCCCCTGCGGCCTGTCAGTCAGCCCGGAAGGAGAAGGCGAAGGGGAGTAAGGAAGCAAATGGCTTCCCCTTCTCCAGCCCCGCCTCTGCCTGCCGCCTACCCCCACCCTCCTCCTCGGGGTTCAGGCTCTGAAGCAGAAGCAGCTCTGACGCGCTCCTGTGAGCGAGGCCGCGGGAGCGGGAGCGGGAGGCCCGGGCTGGGCTCTGCAGTCCAGGCCTCCACCTGGGGAGCTCTCCTGTGAGGCCTGGTGCCCGCAGAGATGCCGGGCAGAGGAGCGGCAGCGGGACCGGACCTGGGAAGAGGCCCCTCACCCCACACCACCCGCAGGAGCAGCCCCGCTGCCCGGAGCCTGGCCCTGCGGTCCCCGGCCCTGTTGGCAAGCAGGCTTCACGTGCCTGCTGGCCCTGGGACCTCCGGATGCCAGGCCCTCCTCAGAAAGGCCACCGGCCCCTCGGGAGAGGAGGGCGAGCAGGGCTGGTCTTCCTAAAGTCAGAGGACCTGAAGCCAGACCCTGGGTTTGCCTCCTGGCCTGCGACATCGGAGGCGGGGACTCCGCTCCGCCTCTCTAGTCTGCCTGCCCGCTGGTACGAGGGAGACGGTGGCTGATAGGGCCACTGGGATAACGCCCGCAGAGGCCTGGTGTGTGGGAAAGGTTGGGCTCTCCTGAGGTGGAGAGCGGGGAGCCCGAGTGAACCCCCAGGCTGCCCAGGTTCGCTGAGCGGTTTTCCTGCCGGCCGCCCACCCCGGCCACGGACCCGCCGCCTCAGCAGCTCTGCACCTGAGGGAAGTGGGCTCTAGGCTGCCGGGGAGCCGTGTCACCCACCCCCCAGCGCCCCCAGACCCGACCCTTCTCCCTCCTGTCTAGCCATCGGCACAGCGTATGCCGTGCTCAGCAACCCGGAGAAGAGGAAGCAGTACGACCAGTTCGGTGATGACAAGAGCCAGGCGGCCCGGCACGGCCACGGCCACGGGGACTTCCACCGTGGCTTTGAGGCCGACATCTCCCCTGAAGACCTCTTCAACATGTTCTTCGGCGGCGGCTTCCCGTCCAGTAAGTCCCCGCCTCCCTCCCCACAGCCAGGCCTCCCCAGGGTGCTGGTGGGAGGGTGCAGCCCGTCCCTCTCCCGCAGCCCCCCGACTCGGCCCCTCCGCCCGCAGGTAACGTGCACGTCTACAGCAACGGCCGGATGCGCTACAACTACCAGCAGAGGCAGGACCGCAGGGAGAACCAGGGGGACGTGAGTGAGGGGGTGCTGGAGCGAGGGGAGGGGCCGGAGGGGCAGGGGCGTGCTCAGCTGTCTCTTCTGGCCCCACAACCCTCAGCCGAGGAGCCATCTTGGGCCTCCCCTGCCATTCCTCTGAGCGACACCAGAGGGAGCCACATTGCCCAGAGGAGAGGGGACTCGTGTCCTCTCTTGGAGAATGTAATGCGGGGTGTTTTCCACCTACAGGCAGGTTCGAGGGTGAACAGCCTTTGTGCAGTTCGCGTTGGTGCTGGCTCTGTCTTTTCAACACCGAAACACGGATGTAAAAGCCATAGCAGGACCGTGCGTCCAGCGCGTTGAGGGCCACAAGGACAGCTAGCTAGCGAGCATTAAAACTGCGGACAGCTGCGGAGCATTTAACGTTATGGCAGTGTGGCCTTATGTTTTTGTTTATCTTTAAACTTTAATTTTGTGTGTATTTAACGTACAGAAGCGTTTTTAAATTACAAATTATCACACAGTGAACAACTTTATTTTTATTTATGGCTTTTTCACTGGCGGTTTGTAAATTGGTAACATATCCGAATGGTTTAAAATTCACAAAGGTCTGTGTCCTGAAGGTCTCCCTCCAGCTCTGGCCCCCATTTCTGGAGGCAGCCACTTTGCTCATTCCTTTCCCCAGTGTATGTGACACCGGGGGCTGTTTTGTTTTTATCTGGGGAAGGTGGCAGGTGAAGGGGCCTCTGTATTGGGAGGGAGTAGGGAGTGGTGTCAAGGCCTGTTTGGTGTTACTGCCTCCCGCCACCTGGGCCCCTGAGCTGGGGGAGCTGGCGGTGATGGTGGCGGACACCGGAGCTGCCCCCCCCCCCCCCAGGGCTGGCTTGGGTGACCATTGGCTCTTCCCTCCAGGGCGGACTGGGGGTGTTTGTCCAACTGATGCCCATCCTCATCCTAATCCTGGTGTCGGCTCTCAGCCAGCTCATGGTCTCCAGTCCGCCCTACAGTCTGAGCCCACGGCCGTGAGTGCGGGAGCTGCAGGGGAGGCCCGGGTGGTGGGCAGAGGGGGACTTGGTGGAGTTTCAGTCACCATCAGGGTGACTTCCTTCCCATCCTGCAGGCTCTTGGTCATAAAGCAGAAAGCTGGCTTAGATCAAGAAAATACATTTTCCCTGTTGAGCAGAAGTTCTTGATCTTTTTTAGGATCAGGGCCCCGCAAGAAAATGCAGTGAAAACAGCAGATCTTATCCTGGAACCTTCACATACACAGTTTTGAACATCGTTCCGTAGGCTTTATAACTCCCCTCCTACCCCCACCCACACCCATCTTATCTGCCAGATAAGAACCCTGAGATAAGAATCTCTGCTCTTTGTTCAGGAAGGGGCTTTAGAGTCACTCAGAGCAAGGCTGGCTTTGAATTCCAGCTCCTCTACTAAGCAGTTGTGTGACCATGGGCAAGCTAAGTCATTTCTCTCAGCCTTGGTTTCCCCATCAGTAAAATGGGAACATCTGCCTGCTTGTGAAAATTAAATGAGTAATACACGTAAAATGCCAGGTTCATTGGAAATACTCAACAGTATTTGTTGAATAAACTTATGGTCCCAACTGCCTGTAGTGAACTTGGGCAACTTATTTGACCGTTTAAGGTGTCAGCACCCCTCATTTACTTCTGGTACCTGACAGTACTGAGACCGAGTGGGTACTTAGGTTTTATTGGTGGAAGCTCTCTGCTCCCATCTAGCTGCCTGGCAGCATCCTCTCGGCCAGCAGGGGGCAGCGTCGGGCCACTGGGCCCACACCAGCCGCACAGTCCTCTGGCCAATGGCAGGCTTTCCTCGCAGCTGGAGCGGTGACCGGCCGCAGTGGACAGGCAGGGCCGTCCTCCCCGGAGCACCGGCTCCTGTCTGTATTGAGGCTCTTCCCACAGCCTGGGAGCCTGCAGTTGGAATTGGAATATAGAACCCAAGAGCTGGAAAAATACAACTCCTTGGAATCCTTCCTGTCAGTTTGCTTCTAAGCCTCTTAACTAGCCTAGGAGCTCCTGGACAGGCAGGCAGGCCCTCAGCAGGAATTGGAGGCCCAGGTTGCTCAAGCCACACAGCTCATCAGAGAGAACCAGACTCACTCCAGGTTCCCTGCTTCCCGGACTGGGCCTCTCAGAAAGGGACTTCTCCCCAGTGTCCCCCACGTCCACAGGGGTAGACAGGGAGCCCGCGGAGGGCTGACCGAGGGCTGGGCAATCCGTGCAGGAAGGACACCCCACCCTGAGTGAGCTGTGCAAGTTCCTGCACTAGTTTGGGAGGGAGGTGACCACCCCCGTGGCCTGGGTGTCCCATCGGGGGGCTCGCCGTCCCCGAGCTGCCTGGGCCCGGGCCGTGCCCACATGGTGCCGGTTTTCCTGCCAGGTCGGTGGGCCACATCCACAGGCGCGTCACTGACCACCTGAACGTCGTCTACTACGTGGCCGACACCTTCTCTGCGGAGTACACGGGCTCCAGCCTGAAGACGGTGGAGCGCAACGTGGAGGACGACTACATCGCCAACCTCCGCAACAACTGCTGGAAGGAGAAGCAGCAGAGTGAGTGGCCTGTCGGGCCGCGGGCTCGGGAGCAGGAAGGAGACAGCCCTCTGCCCGGCGCTGTGTGGGCCAGCCCCTGGCACTGCCCGTGCCGGCCACCCCAGCCCGAGCTGGCTCCGCCCCGTTTCCCCAGGGATTTCCTCCAGGTCCAGTGAGGCGCTGCCAGAGGCACCTGTGTCCACAGAGATCGGACCAGATCTCGGGCACCACTGATTGGGCACCGGCTCTCTGTGGGCCTGGGGGAGGCCTGGCCAGTCGGGCAGGCTCTGACCTTGGCTGGCCTCACCCCCACTATAGAAAGGGGCCACTGTCCCTGCCCCACGTTGGGACCAGTCTTTGCTCCTTCAGGGTCCTCCCTAAAGGTCCTCTGTCCCAGCTCCTGGGCCTGTAACAGCCCCCTCTCTGTCCCCAGAGCAGACGGTGCCCTCGCAGGCTTCAGGGGGCGCCGGGCGTGCCCTAACCCTGCCCCATTGCTTTGCAGAGGAAGGCTTGTTGTACCGGGCCCGCTACTTCGGCGACACAGACATGTACCACAAAGCACAGAGGATGAACACCCCGAGCTGCAGCCGACTGTCAGAGGTGCAGGCCTCCCTGCATGGATAGTCCCGGGCCGGCCACCGACCGAGGTCCAAGTATGAGCCAGGGCCACCTCTGCCCTGCACTTCCAGCTGCTCTGGCCCTGGTCTGAGGCAGCGGAGCGGGGGAGGGGGAGAGCCTCGTGTGATGGCGCAGACCCCTTGTCCCCAGCCTGACCTCCAGCTGCAAAGTTGAGGCAGCTCTGGGATGTGCTTAGAAACTGGGGTCTGCTTCAGGCCTGTACCCTTCACCCCTTCCCCCTACTCCCTGGCTCGGGCTGACGCTGGAATGTGGGGTACCCAAGCAGAAGGGGAGCACAAGGCTGCTGCTGAGAGCCACTGTGCCTCCTGGTCTGCTCCAGCCATCTGGTCACCACGCCCTCCCCCAGTGCAGCAGACTATTGTCTGCACCTGGTGTTCAAGCCACTGAATAGCCCTGGGCCCACAGAGCCCCCACAGGGAGAGCCTGTGGGACCCTCTCCCTCTGCTCTCTGGGCAGCAGGACGGGAGCCCAGCAGAGGCAGGAGGAGCCATCAGGCTGGGACCGGAGAGGCTGTGCACCTGACGCTCCCTCTGGCAGATCAGAGGCTGGCTCTCTGTGTCTCTCTCGTCTGTCAGTCTTTCTCTTGTCTCTCTGTCACCGTCTCTCATGCTACTGCACCTGCCGCCTGGGAGCCACCGGTGTCCGGCCGCCCAGCTTCCCCCCTGTGGTCTGAAAGGGGGACAGGCAGCCATGCGGTCGGGCCGAATGCAGAGCCCCAGCCCCGGAGGGCGGGAATGAAATGCTGGTATCAGACGGCCTGCCTCCTTTACTCCTGAGTGTGGGCATGGGCTCTGCTCCAGCACTTGCCAGAGGGGACGGCTCGGACCAAGCCCAGAGGAGTATGGGCAGGGCCCGGAACGTTCCTTTTCTTGTCGGTGCCTTGTCCATCCCTCTGTCTGCGTCCCCTCAGCAGAGACCCAGGGACAGACAGACTCTGCTTGGAGGCCATTCGCTTGTGCCTCGGGAGAGGGGACAGACTGCGGGAGGGCAGTGGGGGCAGCTCAGGAGGGAAAGACGGTGGCGAGGAGGCTGCCTGTCCGCGTGGCTGAGCTGGAGGCCCTGGACACGTGACTGCGCGCTAACTGCCCCCTCTCCTCCCCAGACCGTGAAATCCCTGGAGAATTTTTGGTGACATGCACTGAGCCAAGGTGATGATGAACTGTATATTTCAGGAAAGACATAAAAAAGGAAAAAACATTAAAATGGACTGGAGGCCGAACGCCACACAACTGTCCTCTCTCCCACCCAGTCCGTGCAGGAAGCTCTAGGACAGCCAGGACACCTGCCACGGCTGCTTCCCTCCCTCCCTCCCGGGCTGGCCGGGCGCGGGCTGCACATCGCTCTCCTAGGATACAGAAACCATGGCAACAGAAGCAGAATGTAAAACTTAGCAAATGTCTCCCGGAAGGGCTGGGGGAGGGGACCCCACTGCCTTTTTCCCCCTCCCAGGAGCCACCACCAGTCACCTCAGTGGAATCCAGGCAGAGGCATAGGCCGAGGATAGAGAAGAGGAGGAGGACAGAGAACTTTCCAGAAATGTAATTTATAGATGCGTGTATATGTATATATATCTATTTATATGTAAATAGCACATATAAAGATATATATAGATATATAGTCTACTTTGTAAACTGCAGGGATTTGGTGGATTGTTTAGCTGATTTCTTCCCTGATTTAGAAGACGGACTGTTTGGGGAAGGCAGCCTGGTCCTTCGGCGGAAGGACAGTCTGTCAGAGCTTCTAACATTCCCCTCAATCCAGCCTGGCCTGGATGGCAGCAGCAATCATGATGGTGTGAGTCATAGGACGCTCTTGAAGATGCCAGGCTGATGGTCAGGCTGGAGGGGAGAAAGGGCCCTGAGGGCCAGGGGCCAGGTCAGTGTTGAGTTGAGGGAGAGGCCCCAGGCGGCCTCGGGTGAGACCATCCACCTGAAGCTCCGGCCAGCTCGGACGGGCCCTGTCCTGGTGCCCAGGAGCCCCCTGACGACCTGCCACAGAGAGCGAGGCTGGAAGAGGGACCAGGCTCTGCCCAGCCACCCCCTCACCCCGTCCCTGAGTGAGTCTTGCCTTATAGGTGCCACAGGGCACAGCTCCATGGTTGCCACTGGTTTTTCCTGAGTCGCACACCGACTCCAGAGGGCTCTCCCTCCAAGAGTCAGCCAGCTGGTCCAGACCCCAGGCCGCAGCTGCCTCCTGAAGAAAGCCAGGCCTGTGACACCTCTGTCTCTGTCTGCCTCCGCGGACAGGACGCCTGCCTTCTGCCCCTGGGACAGAGGACGCATCTGGACAGAAGGGTCCTCGTCCTCACCTTCAAATGAGGATTTTTTTCTCTCCAAACAGCAGTTGCTGCCAGGCGGGGAGAGGGGTTTTATTTATTCCCAGTCTCGGCTGGGTCTTTGGGAACTGCCGTTCTCCTCCCGGACTGTCCTCTGGCGCTGGGTGTACCATCGAGCCTGCCATCCTCCGAAGCCTTACTCCCCACGCTGCCAGCGAGGAGGCAGCCGCCCTCCCGGAGTTCCTCCCGGCTCCTTTTGTAAAGTCCCCAACGAGCAGGATTCTTTCTGGGAAAGGAAGCTGGTCAAGAAATGTCAGCTCTGGTTTCGGAACAAGATCCTGCCCTGTGAGGACGCGGCCACCGGCCCAGAGAGAGGTTAAGAGCTGGACGTGGGCAGGAGTGCCCGCCACGCAGCCCTGGTGCTCTGCCCCACCACCCCGGCGGCTGGCCTTGGTAGCTGTCCCCAGAGGGGCTGAGCCATGTGCAATAAGAACATAGATCCCAAAGGATCCCCGAGAAGCTGTATTTCTTGAATTAGAATTCTGAAATTGTACATCTATAAATACGTTTATTATGTGATTGGCTGTGGTGGGTCGTCATTGAGTAAATGGGGCTAATGTTTGGGGCGGGGGTCCCACAAGCACCTGTTGCTATGACACCCTACAAGGAGTTTGGGCGACCAGCCTGAATGTCTCCCTCACCCAGGCCCCAGCTGACAGCCACTGGGGTCCCCAGTGTTCCAGGGCTGACTCCATCCAGGCGAAGGGTAAGGGACTCGAGCCAGGACCCGGGGGTCTCCCATGGCCCTGGGCTGTCAACTGGGACCATCACGGCCTCTGCTTCCCCCTGTCCCCGCTTCCTCCCGGGAGCCTGCGGTGAGCAAACCGGTTCCAAATCTCCCTTCTCAGCCCGGAGCTCCAGCCCGCTCCACAGGGCAGGGAACAGCCCTCCCGGTCCCTTCCCACCTCTGGCCGCCGTCCTCCCCACACCGCCCCACAGCCTGCCTGCCTGCCCCAGAGGGCTGGAAAAGTTAAAAACGAGGCGGCTCCAGTGGGGCTCCGGAGTGGAACGAGCGGCAGGTCTGCCCGGGCCTCCCAGAGACAGCGCCCGCGGCCCTGACTGGCGGCCCCAGGCCCCTCCCGCCGCCGCCGCAGCCAAAGGCAGGCCGCTGCCCGGTGGTGCCACCGCAGCCCGGGCGCCCATTGGCTGCCCCGCGGGGTCACCGCCGCCCGCCCTGCCCGGCCTGCGAGCTGCCACTTGTTAGCTGCAGTTGGCAGGGCGGTCCCTGCCGCCCCCATTTACCCAACCCATCCCCCGCCCTCAGCCTGCAGCTCAGCCAGCCAGAGGGCGGGACAGACTCCAACTGTTAGCTGCAAAAAAGAGCCTTTGACAAGTGTCCCCACCCTCTGTCAGGTGCAGAGCCTGCCGTCTGTCCAGGCTCCGGGGACCTGCCAGCTTATCTCCTCATCCCGGGCTGCCCAGTCTCCAGGAGCACACACCCGGCCCAGCGGGGCCCTCATCCCCCCGCCCCCTCCCCAGGTGCCTGGGCAAAGCCACCGGCTTTCCAGGGGAGACACGCCAAGAGCCGTGCCAAGGCTCTGCAAACACACCGGGACACAGTGTCAGCTCTGGAGCGACTCGGGCCGCTCACGCGATGTCACGCCATCCCCTGGGCGAGGCAGGAAGCAGGGGTCGGGGCGGGAGGCCGTGGCCGGCTCCCCGAGAAGCTGGCTGCTTGTCTCCGGGGCTGTGTTTAGCAAAGCCATCACTCCGCAGACATTCGCCCAACAGCCCACTGTTCTCAGCAGCTCACCCCACTTTGTGCCAAGTAGCGGGGCGGGAGCCCTGCGTTCAAAACGGGGGAAAGTGGGATTGACCGAGGGGCTGGGGCTGGGGGAGCCGCCCGTGGAAGCAGGCGCACCCCCTCCCAGTGATGGCAGAGATGCCTCCCAGGCGTGCAGGGCAGCTCCCCAGAGCTGGCGGAACTCCCAGCAGGCAGCCCAGGGCATCGGCCGGTGTCCCTGTGGCTCCCACAGCCTCCCTGCCCGGGCCGGCTCCCGCTCCCCGCTGGCTCTGGGCCTGTCCCTCAGCCTCCCTCGGCCTCGGTGTCCTGTCTCCTGGGCTGTGGTGAGAAGGGTCACCGCTCAGTGTCCGGTTCAGGGGAAGCCTCTGTCTTCAGCCAACACAGAGGAGCTGACCCACCAGCTACGTGTCCAGCCCCGTTCCAGCACGGAAGCCACAGAGGGTAGAAGCCAGAGCTCAACAGACCCCGGAGCACAGAGGACGGACACACACAGACCTGGGTGTGGCCGGGAGCAGGTGCCAGGGGCCAGCAGCTCTGGCTGGGGACTCTTTTTTTTTTTTTTTTTTTAATATGTTTTTATTGATTTTAGAGGGGAAGGGAGAGAGAGAGCTAGAAACATCGGCGAGAGAGAAACATTGATTGGCTGCCTCCTGCATGCCCCCTGCTGTGGATCTAGTTCGGAACCACATGGGTCTACTCCCAACCACTGAGCCACACCGGCTGGCCTGCTGGGGACCCTTGATAAAGGAACGGGCCTCTGGGAGGGAGGTGAGCGTGAGGACAGGGCTGGGGTGGAGTGGGTGCTTGGCCGGGGGGGACACTGTGAGCCACGTCCTGCAGCGGGGAACGTCGGGAAGTGACCGCGCTGAGGGAACAATACACAGGCCAGGTCCCCAGTCTGTAGCTGTCACCTCGCCAGTCACACCCGGTGGCATGAGCAGAGGAAGACCTTCACGGGAACGAGTGGACAAGGAGCCCTGCGCTCAGAGAGGCTGGCAGGACAAGCAGAGGCGAGGCGTGGGCACTGTGGGGGAGCGGGGCGCTGGGTGCAGATTCACAGTCACTCTCCCCCGGGTTCTGGGGCGGGGGGATGTTGCCCCAGGAACAGGGCCCGGGCCTCCTGTTGCTTCCATAGCCCCACAGCCATCTGAGTGGGAAAGAAAGGTCCAGAACCAGACAGACAAGGGGTACGGGAGACGCATTCTCTGGGACCCCCGCGTTCAAGCTGCCCTCCCAGGGCCCGGGAGTTGGGGTTTGCTTGGGAGGAGTGTGAGGTCTGACTGCCTTCCTCTCCTTCCCCTTGGGCCACGTGGTCTGCACAGAGCCCCCCGAGATCAGGGCTGCCCTTCCCAGCCGAAGGGCAGGGTGAGGTCCCGGTGGAGCTGGTGCTGGTCAAGGCATGTGGTCAGCAGCCCCTCTTCCCTGACTGATTGTTGCCACCCTTCCCCCCCCCCGCCCATGCACACAGTGAGGGCCCAAGGGACTGGGTCTGAGCAGCACAGAAGGATGCTGGCGACCTCTCCTCACCGGTGGGGAGCGAGGGGGCCAGAGGGACACAGCGAGGTCCCTTTCCTGGTCCCGGGTGGCTGGCAGGGCCTCCTGCTCTGACTGGCTGCCTGTGGGAGCTCAGAACCCAGTGGCCCCAGAACCTTCAGCCAGCAGCCTCCCAGCTGCTCCTCCGCGCCCCCTCCCCCCCCGACGGGAGCCTGCCCGGGTCCCCATGGCCCGCCTCAGCGTCCTGCTGGAGCTGCCCCTGCAGCTCTTAGGGGAAGGCTTCACGCCCTGGAAGCAAGGCCTGCGGGCCGCCTGTCTTTGTCAGTGCTGCAGCCCCGGGCCTGGACACGGGTGTGTGTGTGTGTGTGTGTGTGTGTGTGTGTGTATGTGGGGGGCAGGGGGGCCCTCCATGAGCACTGCTGAAGGAAGAAGGTGCCCACCCATTTGTGACGGCCCCTCGTGCTGTCCCTCCGCGGCTTTCTCCACCTCACCCACCCGCCTGAGTCAGCTCTGGAGAGGGTTTTGCATCCATAAGCTCGCACAAGGGCCAGGGTCACTT